TCAATTTCTTATTTATTTTCACATTTTCACTTCGCGGTCTTTCTTTGTTCTTTTTCCGTTATTTACATGTGTAGGTCATTTCATTGTTATTCACATTTGATATCGTCATTTATCACATACTGCCATGACGCTCTTGTATGAACTGTCAAGAATTAACGCAATTGGCGAAGCGTAGTGACAGTGGGCCAATGGAGAGCAGGTCCTGGCTATAATGCGGTTTGCGCGCCAATTTTCGTACGTGCGTTAATCAAGCCGAATAGTTTGGCCGAATATTCGGCTATTCGGCCACGCTCCTGGCCGAATATTCGGCTATTCGGCCACGCTCCTGGCCGAATATTCGGTATTCGACCTGAGGCCGAATATACTACTCGTTACAACACTAGTTTGGATCCATTCCTGTTTCACTATGATCATCTGTTTGGATTTATCTGCTTTTATGATATCTATGTTATTTGCTTCTAAGTAGGTTTGTAATTGTGCTATTCTATCTTTATATTTGACGTACGATTTTTCAGTAATTTTTTTACTTCTATTTTCGTTTTTTACATAATTTTTTAGTTTGTTGCTAATTTCCATTTTTATATCGTTGTGATCCTCTGGGGAGTTACTTTGCTACATATACCCTTCCCATACATCCGTGGCTTCTTTGAGCAGGTAAACAAAAGTTTTGAAAAAATAAATATAAAGCTAGCCCCAACCTATAACAACTTGCAAAAAAGAATCCGGAAGACTATACCTGACAGAAATAAACAACCAGACAAATACAACACTACCGAAGTCGTCTATAAAATACCTTGCACATGCGAACCCCCAAAAGTATACATCGGTGAAACAAAAAGAAAATTAGAAACAAGATTAAAAGAACACATCGCAGACCTGAAGTATAATAGAATCAACTCTGTTTTTTACGAACATTGCACGACCCACAACTGCAAAATAGATAAGAATGATGCAATAATAGTACACAAAGAAAAAAATTGGTACAAAAGAAAATTCAAGGAAAGCTACGAAATTACTATAGACAAAAATAATATTAACAAGAACCTAAGCATTGACATCCATAAAAACTGGCTACAATTATTAAAACAGAATGTTTATACAGTCGCAGGAGAGGCTGTACGCAACACTCGGGGAGGGGTGAAGTTACAAATTACGAGGCATGCGGGGGAGGCCGTCAAGTCGGGAGAAGATGGAAGCGGGAAGTACGGAAAGTCCCAGACTGATACCGTATACTATCAATGTAACAGACTGAAGAGGGGCGAAAGCCCGAAACGCGTTTCTGTATGAATTAAAAGTAGACGATGGAATTATTTGCCAAGTGTCGATAAATGCACCAAGTCGTGACATAGAATTAGAAGAAACAAGAAAAAGAAGACACGGTTTCGACAAATAACGAAAACAATATCCTTTCATTTTATTATCGCTTTATTCTAGTGAGTCATTTTTTCCTGGATGCGGGCTGCGAGTGAATTTTATAGACTTCAGGCAGGGCGCGTGCAGACTTTAAGCCTGCTGAGTACCTTTTTCTTTCTTTTTTTTTTAACTCTTTCCGCCCTGTGGGCAATAAGAGGGCCTCTTTTTGCAAGCCCATTATGGGTTCGGCCAGGTCCACAATGGGACTGCCGGGTGGTGAGGGACAGGGCCCGACATATCACGCCCGAAAAATTCCTGGGGATTTTTCGACCCGTTCAGATTCGAGCCCAGGTCCCCCAGAGCGGTGGGCTGCCACCTTGACCGCTCGGCCATCCGGCCAATAGTGGGGACTGATTTCTTCATAATATTAGACGTAATATAAACAGAAATTTTTCCAGTTCAACGAGAGTGACCGAAAAGTTGTACATTTTGGAAATTTACGTGGACACCTGGTCCTAAAACGAATTAGAAAACAAACGACTGACAATCTATTAAGTTTAACATATTTAGACTTTTACAGCTATGGTGAGAAACGTTTAAAATTTACAAGAACCCTGTCGCGTCTTTTGACATTTGACATTGACAGGTATCGGCACCCTCAGGATTTGGCAGCCCGCTTGCATGCATGCACCGCACACCTAGCAGAACCATCTCTGATTCCACTCGTAGGGAGCTATTTGACTAAGTGGTTAAGATTTAAAGAGTAAAGAAGATTTTATGTTATTTTTATATACGTTTCTTTATAAAGCTATATTTAATTACAATTTTCTTTACAAGTATATTCATACAATTGAAGAATATTTGTACCAGGCACGTACAGTATATCCACCACACATTTTATTTCACCAAGTAAGTTTTTATTATTTTATTTTTAATTTTAGTCCTTGTATCGTGGCTAGCGATTCGGAATGTAACTGCGATATTGAAAATTTATTTTAAAAAGTTTTGGCTCAAAATCATATAATGAAAAAGAAAACATTATTAAAAGAGAAAGGCCAATGCCTAAGTTAAATATAAACACTTCAATAAAAAATTTGTTCGACATTCTCACGATAAAATGGCTCTGTAAATGCATAAAAATGCAAAAATTGTTTTGTTGGCCTTGCCTATTATTTTCAAATGAAATTAGCATGTGGAATAAGAATGGCTTTGACAATTTAGCTGGCAAAAGACACGAAAAATCGTCGATTCTTTCGTATTTGAAGCGATTTGGAAATCAAAGAGGAATAGAATTTAACATTAGTAAATAATATAAAATAAATATTGAAAACTATAACGAGATAGTTACGGATAATAGATATATTTAAATTAATAGATGTTATATGTTTTTATCAAAGCAAGAATTGGCATTTATAGGGCATAGGGAATCTATTGAATTTAATAACAGAGGTAATTATATTGAACTTGTTTATTTATTAATTACATTAGATAAATAATCTATTAAAATCCATTAAGAGATGAAACACTGGATGAACATTTTATTTTCCAAGGATAATGTTCCTATTCAAAACATTGCCTCAACAATGACATGGTTCTCTGACAATAATATCAATGTTTTGCCTTGTCTACTGTGTAGCCCAGATTTAAACCCAATAGAAAACCTTTACAGTGATTTGGTAAGAATGGTTAATGCCAATAGAAAACAACTTAATGATTCTGATCTTAAAAAAGCAATTGTGACTGTTTGGGATGAAATTGATACTATATCCATGACCAATCAATTGATTGATGTTATTATGGTTAATGGTAAACAAACTAACATAAGTATCAAACATTATTTTTTCCACTATAATTTTTGATGTGTTTTTTGGATTCTGGTCTCAAATATTTTCCAGGCAAATTGCAAGGAATGTGTTGTATTTGAATTTCTTAAATATGAAATTTTTATTTCATATTTTGTTTATGATTACTGTATTTTAATACCTAAACAACAACACATTTACAGGAAATCAGTTATTTTAATGGGAAGTTTGAAAACCCAGATAGTCTCAAACTTTTTTCCAGGACTGTATGTACATAATGTATTTAAAAATGAATTTTATCTTTACTTATTGATTTTTAAAATTATTTAAACTTGCTTTACAATATTGGTTTTAAGTATAATAAAAATAGATTACTAAAATAGTATTAATTTTAGCTGTTTTGTTCTTATATTACTAACATTTTAAATAGATTCCAGTTATTAAGCACAAACTTTGTTATCAACTGTTCAATGTTATCAGTATCAGCATATCCAAAACATGTAAGCTAATAATAATTATGAATATGACAATAGTAATAATAATAATAATTAATAAATCTTCAAAGTATACAGGTTTTAATTGTTTACGTTAGAACAAAAAATGTATATTTTTAAAATTTACACACATTTACTTGAATGTACTCAAAGATTGAGACATATCCTTTAATAATGGACTCAATAAACCAGAATTTTCACTAATTTTAGTCTTATTTAATTATTCTAATTAATGTTATTTGGTTATTTATTTTTTAATCAGTATAAGCAAGTCCCAAAGTGACCATATAAAGTTGATTCTATTATATTAATAGAAAGCAGTTTAAAAATTTCACTGAACATTTTGACAATGTGGATAAAAAATATTTAAGTCAAAATATAGTAAATTATTTTTGTGCCAATAGAATTATTATTTTAAAGTTTTAAAAATTCTCCAAACATATATTGTACATTCAGAAATAAAGAAATCTTTAATTTATTTTCTAAAGAAAGAAAAACAAATACAATAAACCAGTTTAAAATTCAACTTCAATTTTAATTTCTAATTTGACGTTCATATCAATAATTTAATAACAGTTTGATTCCAAAGTACCAAATAAGTTTTGGAAACATTTTGTTAATTATCCATGTTAAATTTTCCATCAATAATTCTGATGAAAATCTTTTTCATTACAAATTTTCTAGCAATGAAATAATCCCAAAACTGAACATTTATATTTACATATTTTTAACAAATAAATTAATGAAACTTATACAATTAATAAGTTATAATTTATTTGGTTTATAATCACTAAAAAGATATTTCTGTACAAATAAAATCTTTCAAATAAAAGTTGCCTTGTGAATGATTTTCAAAAAAAGACATAACTATTCAATTAAAAACAAAAACTTATGAATTCAGAAATTGATCTTCATTAAAACATTCTGGAATTATTAAAATTTAAATCCATTTGAATGTGCTATCATTTTAATATTCTTACAATGGGACAGTTTATTCATGCTGTGAAAACAACATGCAACTGAACACTCAAATTTTCAACATTCCCTTTAAGAATTTTTAAAGAAATGTCATTAAAAATAATTATTTAATTTTATCTTTTTTAAAATATATTTAGAAGTAATATGAAATATTTATTTTTTTTAAATTCATTTTAATTATGTATATCAGGAAGATAAAAGGACTTTAATAAGTAATATATGTATAGGTTGTATGTATATGTATATATATATTTTTTAAATAAATAAAAGAACTGTGAAATTATCACCCGTCTCATGATAGTCTGTATAGAAAATGGAAGTTATTTAACGTTAAACTTTCCTGTTGGTTTAAAACAAATGCAAAACATTCTTCCTGCTTCACTTTTGCTTTAATGAATTTAAGTAAGAAACTTTAACTTCCACTTTAGGATGATTTTCAAACAATGCTGCTCTGTTCTGAACTTCACCTCTTTTCACCCAATGACAATATACTTTAAAGGCACAGCCATCAATTACCTATATTAATTTAAATGGTAAATTGGAAAAGCATTAATGGAATAATTTTTAATTGTTATTAATTATTGGAAAAACATAGTCATACTTTTCTGAGCGTCTTGATCCTGTAGGGATCTGAAGAAGCAACATCCACTGAAAGTGGTTCAGGGCAGTATTTGAGTCTCTTCAAACGTACCATGGCACGAATACAGAGAGCATAAAACTAAATTATAAAAAAAATTAGTTTAAGCACTTTAAATAATTATTAAAATAAATTGGAACATAATGAAAAGCTTAATGAAATAATATTGATAATAAATTCAATTAAAATTGTAATATATTATTTTCAATGTGAACTCAGGATATGCTTTTCTTCCAATTAGAAGTTCAGACTATTTACAAAAAATTTAATTTTTGAGTAACAGAAGTACCCATAACATTGGTTTGAAGAAAAACTTCAATAAAAACAAAAATAAATAGGTAAAAACTCACAATATTAAAAACGATCAAAACGTCAGCCTTTTCTTTGAGTATCTGTGGTTGTGTTAATGGATTAATAGATAGACTCAAAAATTTAATTTTTTGTAAATTGTCTGAACTTCTAATTGGATGTAATATATTAATTATGAAATCTTTTTCTCAGTGTTACCATTCACTAATCAAATATCAAACTCAGCCTTTTTAAACACTTAATGAAACATTAAACACCTATTGCTGAGAAATGTTTATTAAATGAAAAACTAACGTTTGCAACCTAATAGAATAGGCCATCTTCAAGTGTAACTGAATTCAAACATATTTTTAAATATTTAACATTCTAACAACAGAATGTCCAAACATTTTACATTTTTTTGTGTTTTGTTTAATAAACATTTCTCAGCAATAGAAGGTGTTCAATGATTCATTAAGTGTCACCATTCACTTAAAATAATTTTATTCATAATTACAAGTTAAAGAAATAAGTATAAAAAAAATAGAGGACTATTCTAAATTTATTTTTTTTTATTTAGTTAGTTACAAAGAACATTTATCAATTAAATATAATATACAGTACATCCTTGATTTAATGGACTAATTGGGGAAAATGCGTGTCTGTTATTGGAAATGCCATTAAATCAAATGCATCTTAAAAACAGATATTAATAACAAACTTAAAATGTACTAAAATTGTATTATAAGGTGTAAGTATGACTTATTGTTATGTACATTGAATAATTTATATTCAAGGGATCATTGTTCCAACCTTTTAAAACAATTATTTGCAAATACAATAAGATTAAATTTTTTCCTATAGGACAAAGTTTTTGTCTGTTAAATTAGAGGTAAATCTATTAAATCAAGGGTTTACTTATTTTGAAAAATTGCTATAACTATGATGATTATAAAAAAATAAAACTCATACAAATTTTCCACTTACTTGAAATGTTTTCTTTGCATCAAATTTTCTACCTTGAGTAGTCTACAAAAACAAAGCATTTATATGATTAAAAAATTTAACAAAAACAAATTATAAAGTAATAATAAGAATTCACTATCTAAATAAGAATTTCTACTTTACCACAATTTTAAAGAAGTCGTGTTGTAATGCCTCAGTTGCTGTTATTCTTTGTTTAGGATCTACTATCAGAAATTTACGTATCTAGAATAGTAAAAAATAATTACATAAATATCTGATTATTAGACATAGTAACAAAAATACTAAAACTTACAAGGTCTTTTGGTGATTCTGTGATATCATCCCATTCTGGACTAAAAAATTCATATTTTCCTTCCATAATGTTTCTTAACATCACCATTTGTTTTCTATGCCAGAATGGTGGAAATCCAACTAAACTACAAAACAACAAATTCTATCAATCATAGTTATTTTAAAAATGAACAGAAATAGCTATTAATTTAAGTGATATAAAAAAAATTCTTATCAAAGATTAAACACATTAAATGAACAATTTCAAAGTGGAATTTCCCCTAAAATAAATTATCAATATTTCAAATAATGTATACTTACAGAGTAAACATGATTACACCACAGGCCCAGCTGAAAATATTGCAAATATTAATTAAAGACTGATAATTAGGTTTTTAAGCATTTGCTATATAGATATAAAAAAAAATACACACACTTACAGATCAACTTCTTTGCTGTATCCTTCTGCATTTTCATACATAGATGCACGTAATAATTCTGGTGCCAAGTAACCAGGAGTTCCACATAGTTCTAAAATCATTAAATTTTAATGTTTAGTATTATTATATTTTACATGATAGTCTGTATAGAAAATGGAAGTTATTTAACGTTAAACTTTCCTGTTGGTTTAAAACAAATGCAAAACATTCTTCCTGCTTCACTTTTGCTTTAATGAATTTAAGTAAGAAACTTTAACTTCCACTTTAGGATGATTTTCAAACAATGCTGCTCTGTTCTGAACTTCACCTCTTTTCACCCAATGACAATATACTTTAAAGGCACAGCCATCAATTACCTATATTAATTTAAATGGTAAATTGGAAAAGCATTAATGGAATAATTTTTAATTGTTATTAATTATTGGAAAAACATAGCCATACTTTTCTGAGCGTCTTGATCCTGTAGGGATCTGAAGAAGCAACATCCACTGAAAGTGGTTCAGGGCAGTATTTGAGTCTCTTCAAACGTACCATGGCACGAATACAGAGAGCATAAAACTAAATTATAAAAAAAATTAGTTTAAGCACTTTAAATAATTATTAAAATAAATTGGAACATAATGAAAAGCTTAATGAAATAATATTGATAATAAATTCAATTAAAATTGTAATATATTATTTTCAATGTGAACTCAGGATATGCTTTTCTTCCAATTAGAAGTTCAGACTATTTACAAAAAATTTAATTTTTGAGTAACAGAAGTACCCATAACATTGGTTTGAAGAAAAACTTCAATAAAAACAAAAATAAATAGGTAAAAACTCACAATATTAAAAACGATCAAAACGTCAGCCTTTTCTTTGAGTATCTGTGGTTGTGTTAATGGATTAATAGATAGACTCAAAAATTTAATTTTTTGTAAATTGTCTGAACTTCTAATTGGATGTAATATATTAATTATGAAATCTTTTTCTCAGTGTTACCATTCACTAATCAAATATCAAACTCAGCCTTTTTAAACACTTAATGAAACATTAAACACCTATTGCTGAGAAATGTTTATTAAATGAAAAACTAACGTTTGCAACCTAATAGAATAGGCCATCTTCAAGTGTAACTGAATTCAAACATATTTTTAAATATTTAACATTCTAACAACAGAATGTCCAAACATTTTACATTTTTTTGTGTTTTGTTTAATAAACATTTCTCAGCAATAGAAGGTGTTCAATGATTCATTAAGTGTCACCATTCACTTAAAATAATTTTATTCATAATTACAAGTTAAAGAAATAAGTATAAAAAAAATAGAGGACTATTCTAAATTTATTTTTTTTTATTTAGTTAGTTACAAAGAACATTTATCAATTAAATATAATATACAGTACATCCTTGATTTAATGGACTAATTGGGGAAAATGCGTGTCTGTTATTGGAAATGCCATTAAATCAAATGCATCTTAAAAACAGATATTAATAACAAACTTAAAATGTACTAAAATTGTATTATAAGGTGTAAGTATGACTTATTGTTATGTACATTGAATAATTTATATTCAAGGGATCATTGTTCCAACCTTTTAAAACAATTATTTGCAAATACAATAAGATTAAATTTTTTCCTATAGGACAAAGTTTTTGTCTGTTAAATTAGAGGTAAATCTATTAAATCAAGGGTTTACTTATTTTGAAAAATTGCTATAACTATGATGATTATAAAAAAATAAAACTCATACAAATTTTCCACTTACTTGAAATGTTTTCTTTGCATCAAATTTTCTACCTTGAGTAGTCTACAAAAACAAAGCATTTATATGATTAAAAAATTTAACAAAAACAAATTATAAAGTAATAATAAGAATTCACTATCTAAATAAGAATTTCTACTTTACCACAATTTTAAAGAAGTCGTGTTGTAATGCCTCAGTTGCTGTTATTCTTTGTTTAGGATCTACTATCAGAAATTTACGTATCTAGAATAGTAAAAAATAATTACATAAATATCTGATTATTAGACATAGTAACAAAAATACTAAAACTTACAAGGTCTTTTGGTGATTCTGTGATATCATCCCATTCTGGACTAAAAAATTCATATTTTCCTTCCATAATGTTTCTTAACATCACCATTTGTTTTCTATGCCAGAATGGTGGAAATCCAACTAAACTACAAAACAACAAATTCTATCAATCATAGTTATTTTAAAAATGAACAGAAATAGCTATTAATTTAAGTGATATAAAAAAAATTCTTATCAAAGATTAAACACATTAAATGAACAATTTCAAAGTGGAATTTCCCCTAAAATAAATTATCAATATTTCAAATAATGTATACTTACAGAGTAAACATGATTACACCACAGGCCCAGCTGAAAATATTGCAAATATTAATTAAAGACTGATAATTAGGTTTTTAAGCATTTGCTATATAGATATAAAAAAAAATACACACACTTACAGATCAACTTCTTTGCTGTATCCTTCTGCATTTTCATACATAGATGCACGTAATAATTCTGGTGCCAAGTAACCAGGAGTTCCACATAGTTCTAAAATCATTAAATTTTAATGTTTAGTATTATTATATTTTACAATTAAATTTATATCTTTTTTTAAAAATTTTAAAATACAAAACCAATTAGTCACAGAACAAATAGATTTTTCAATCTGATAAGATTTATAATAAACTCAAAGATATTAAATACAATTAAAATTAAAAGTAGAAAATTAATAGATAACAAAGTAGAAAATAGACACTATATTAAGTCATCATGGATATATTATCAGAGGAATTTAATTTTAAAGTTAAAAAAATCTTTTATTTTGAATCTAAATTCAACAACATAAACAATAACTTTCTGATAAGGATTATTATTAACATTATCACCAGAATTAAACCAAAATACCAACAGAAAAACATTATTATCTGTTTTAAAATAAAATTTTGTAAACAGCAAGATATTTTTATAGAATTAAAAGCAACATTTAATTCTGATAGAATTCTTTTGAAACTATAACAGACTAGCTGTTACCTGTGGCTTTGCCCACATGGATTTTGCAATTTGATAGAAATAACCCTCCCTCCGTATTTCAGTAAGATTCTCAATCATTAGTTGTTACTCATTTGGCAAAATTACTGATTTTTGTTTGTTTCAAACTATGGACTGCTAATGCACCTAAATTTAAGTTTCAAATATTATGGGAATGTGAGATATGATAAATCTGAGTTGAATTTTTTTTTTTTGAAACATAAATGACATTATCTGAAAATTCTTAAAGTATAAATACTTACAGAAAAATAGAGTTTCAGTTACCCCAGTACCTTTTTGTAAACCACATTTGTGGTATAGTACTGACTGTCAGGGCTAAGACTTTTTAAACCTTAATCTTCTCCTTCTCTCCCAACAAGAGAATTTCCAAAAATCCCTTCTTAGTGTGCATTCTCATTGCATACCTTACTAAAACATAGCTATAAACAAAGAATTGCATCTGAAATAGTACAGTAGAAACTGTTCTTCAGGTTAAGCCTTAAGATAACATTACAATAGAACATCAGAACAAATATTTATTTTATACACAGATGAGCATGAGAAAAAAAAAGCTGCCAAAGCATATCAAGTTCATGGCATATGCATTTTCCTCCATCTAACTTGCTGTTATTTAATAAAATTGATTTTATGATTTTTTCCCCTAAAAAAATCTTAAAATTCTACTCCAAAACCATAGTGTGTCTTAAAATCAAAGAAATACAATATACTAAATATATAATTTTTGACTAAAGCTTCTTACTATAAAAATTCTTTTTGAATTTAAAACATTAAATAATTTTTTTTATACATATTCTATCTTAAAAGCTTATTTTCAGGATACTTTAAAGACAAATACAGAAAAAGTTTATGATTAAACTGACATTACTCAGAAAATTCTAGAGTAAAATTTGAATATTTGTCAATGAAGTTTTGTATTTAAACTATTGGGAAGCCAGTTACAACAAAGTTTTAGTTCAAAATTCTACACCAGGAAAAGAAATGGCACCGTTTGGTAAGTTTTGATTATGTATAAGCTTTTAAACAAATTACAATGTCTGTCCTACATTATAAAATAAACCAGCAACACGTTGCTCAACTTTCTCAGCAACATTTAAAATTTTGCTGGTGCTATCTGTTATCATATTTTATTTTAAAAACTTTTTATATTTTTAACTATTATAAAATAGCAAAAATCTTAATTTTAAGGGTAGGGAGTTTTATAAAATATTGTAAATGCTAATAACGAGTAAAACTGTCATTAGGTCCAACCCTATTGGTGATACACATTACCCCCATTATCTTCCCACCCCCTCAACCTTTAACCACCAAAATTTAATAGCATCAATCTTCCCTAATAATTACAGAAATTTTTGACAAAAAGCACAGGAGTTATTAAGCTTCAAGCAGGGTGAACAAAATCACACTCCACACAGACATACACATCCATGCATACATGCATGCATACATACATACATACATACATACAGATAGATCCCCCAAATTATTTTGCATTTCCCAACGTTTCAAGGTGTCCTGAGTCCAAAAATGAAAAAATCTTGGGAAGGGGTCATTTTTTGACCGATCACCATACTTCTTTTTACTTACATTATAACTCTGGTGCAAGCAAGCTTAATGTAAGTACGAGGGCTGTTTGGAAAGTTTGCGGCCTTGCCTATATGCGGCACTGCGATCAATTTAATTTTTGGCGGGAATAATTCAGCCATCTTTGCTAGAGATACAATACCAATTTCCACTTGATTCGTCATAAAGTTTTGCCACAACAGCTTAGCAGATAGTCAGTGTGCACATGCTTTGTCAAAAATGGAGAAGACGGAGACTCGTGTGGTAATATAATACCTGACAAAAAAAGGGTTGACCCCATCTCAAATCAAAGCTGGCATGGATGAAGTTTTGGGAGAGTCTGCTCCTTCGTACACCACTGTGAAAAAATGGACAGCCCTTTTTAAATCTGGCAGAGAGAGTGTGGAAGATGACCCTCGCAGTGGACGGCCATCAACTGCTGTCACTGAAGAAAATATTGACAAAGTTCACGATTTGGTATTAGCAGATTGTCATTTGAAAACGCGTGAACTAGCTGAGACAACAGGCATCTCTGTCAACCGAGTGCACCAAATCCTAACCGAAAATTTGGGTATGATGAAGGTCTCAGCAAGATGGGTGCCCCGTCTGCTGACCACTGAGCAAAAACATGTTTGCACTTTGATGTCAAAGGAGTGTTTGGACTTCTACCAGAAAAACCCACAAGATTTCTTGCGTCGGTTTGTGACTACTGACGAAACGTAGATCCATTACTACACTGCTGAAACAAAAGAACAGTCGAAGCAATGGAAACACCACAGTTTGCCACCACCAAAGAAGGCAAAGACAGTTCCATCAGCGGGGAAAGTGATAGCCTCGGTTTTTTGGGATGCTAAAGGCATCATCTTTATTGACTACCTAGAAAGAGGAAAGACCATTAATGCTGTCTATTACTGTGAACTTTTGGAAAAATTGAAGAAAGAAATCGAAGAAAAAAGGCCACACTTGAAGAAAAAGGTTCTGTTCCACAACGATAATGCACCTGCACATTCCGCCAGAATCACTGAACAAAAGACAAACGAACTTTGCTTCCAATTAGTTCCACATCCACTGTACTCACCTGATTTGGCCCCCAGTGACTTCCACCTTTTTCCAAACCTAAAAAAATTCTTGACTGGAAAGAGATTCCACTCAAATGACGAAGTCATCTCTGAAGTGAACAAGTATTTCACACACCTTGACAAATCAATCTATTGTGATGGCATAAAAAAGCTAGAACATCGCTGGAATAAGTGCATTGCTAACAGAGGAGATTACATTGAAAAATAAAAAAGTTTTAACATTATTTTGTTTGTTGTTCTATTTGAGGCTGCAAACTTTCCGAACAGACCTCGTAATTATTATTATTATATAAATAATAATATTTACTTGATAATTGACAATGCATGCAAAAGTATGAGAGTGACTGCAATCCATCAAATTATTATTGCTGGAGTGTCATCCATTGGAAACTGAACTGATTATGTTTGAAAGTATATAAATACAATACACAGGCAAGAGCACTTACTGACCAAGTAATAAGTGAGGAAATTTTCTTTAACTACCAAGTTTTTTCCAACATAATAAAGAATTTGAACTGATTATAAAAAGATGTAACATGGATTAATCTCCAATTATATTTAGCCTTATCTGTGTTGATCAAATTATCTCTTAGTTGGCTTATTGAAGACTTTTTTGCTTCATACACCAATTAAGAGATAATTCCAGAAGTTTTTTTTTTTTTGCAAAAGTATGCTTTTGTTATGAGTTTGGCTGGAGAATGTTATAAGTTGAGTAGTGTATACAAAAACATGCATTACTGATGATGTGATTAGGGAATATTTCACCCAATGACATGGTGGTGGTATGTGTGTTAATCAAATATAAAATAAATAACCATATTTTAAAGAATGCTCAAATAAACTATTTTATTCTAGCTTTAGTTATTGAGTAGTTAAAAATATTGGATTAGTCTTTAAATATATATTTAAAAAATCATTATAAATCAACATACATTAAACATATGCTATACTAAAAATGCTACATACATTAATTCCTACTTTTTAAAACAAGTTTTAATACAAAATATTTAAATATTTGCATCTTTAAAATCATCTTACCAGTTAATTTTTCACTAGGACTTAGAATATGAGCAAATCCAAAATCAGTTATTTTCACATTAAAATTATCATCTAATAAGATATTTTCTGGCTGTAAGATTTCAAAAACACATTTATTTATTAATTATTATTTAAAAATTTCAAATAGTATATTTAAATTATTACCTTTAGATCTCTATGAACAATATGTTTAGAATGAATAAATTCAACTGCTTCTAGTAACTGTTTCATTACTGTCCTAATAAAGAATAATATAAAATTAAACAAAGCTTTTATACTGATGTACATGAATGATATTTCATTTACAAACTTGATACTCATGTAATGAAAAATAGTTATAAGTGTTGAATTTATAATAAAAATATAGTGGAAATAGCTTGCAATTGTATCTCAATGCATAAAAATTTTCAATTTGACTGTTTTTATATATCACTGCAGGTAGCTTTAAGTTTAGATAATTAATCATAATTTGGTACATAAAACTATTGAATGAAACTACTATGTCCACCCTTAATTAATATACACAAAGTATTATGGTAAAATGTAATTGTTTCAGTATAAAAGCAGATTTATAAAGCATAGTTTTTTTTATTCAAAACATTATATATTGTGCAAAATAATAAAAAATAACAATACATTAACTTAATGTATACTTCAATTGATTTGAAAATTATTGACTGTTTCAAAACTAAAGATGTTTGGAAGAGAAAACAGAATTCACAAAGGAGGAAAAAATGATAATTATAATCAGTGTTCTTTATCTAATAAAATTACTGCTAATATGCATATATGGTGATTACTCATTAAAAACAGATTTTGTGTGTTCAACCACTAGTACAATACACTGACTATTGATCTGTTGGTATGGCAAACTGGCATGTTGATTGAAAAATAGTCCTGATTATAATTAATACAACTATTTATAATTTTACAATATAAGTCCAAACAGTTTAAATGTTATTCAGATAGTAATAATTAAAATATTTTTGTAAAAAAACCATTAATTTAAGTTTTTTCAAAAATTTTAAGCAAATTTTAAAAGTTGTTTTAAAAAGTTTAAGAACAAACAAAATTTCATTTTATCATGTAATAATACAGTATTCTACATCTGTACTACGTAAACTGCTTTTTGTTGATAACATTGTGTTTCTACAGCAACTACATTTGAAGTAAAATTTAATGATGATTTAAGAAACATTTGAATAGAATCATTTTGACTGTTAAATTTATAAATTTTTAGTTTTAATTCAATCATATAAAAAGAAAAATTACTTTTGATGCTATGGCCAGGTTAAAATTAACAAGTTTCATTTCTTCTCCAGTCACTTGACAAGTTACATCTTTACAATAATGTGCGAGTGCCCGAACTTGATAAGCTCTTATAAATCTTTCTTTTTATAAACTTTTATGTTTGTTTTAAAATAAAACAAAATAACGATTAATTATATAAAAAAAGGAATGAACTTTTTCCCAACATTTAATAAAACTATGGAAGGATATGACTGTATCTTTTCCCAGATTCACTTTCTTTCAGAGGTGACACAGCTTCAAAATTTAACTATTGGACAATTGTAGCTCCAAACTGTAGCAAAAAAACTCCAACTAAGGCCATGGAAAAACCCAGGAGAGACGCTCTGATAAAAAGGAGGGGTCGATGAGTCGAAAAGAGTCATCTAGTTGTTATTATTGAACTATGTGTATGTGACAGCTGCTCCTCATTGCTGCCACTGATTCTAGCCGATATCACCACCACTCCAGAGCATCTATCTACGTTCATCAAAAGAACCCATTGATCCTGAGGAAAGTGATTCCCTCAATCTAGGAAGCTCTGAATTTCAAGCTCTACAAACTTTTAAGGTATTTATCCTCACACAAACTTAATGTGAACTCTCTCTCTCTGCCAGGGTCATAGTAGTTACGCTGTATATCCAAATATTAGCATTTGCTAAGTTTATGTATAATGATATATATGTCTTGCTATAATTTTGATTAATAAACAGGTAATTTTGTTATATGATAACTTGTAAAGTGCACTTCTTTAGCCCAATCAGTCTCCATCCTGAGTCCAACTGTCCACAGACGTGACTGCTCATGCATAAAAGGCAAATGTAACTGTCTCTGTGTCTACCCAGAAGGCACAGTAGTGTCAGTCCTGGCGAATTAGTCATTGCAGTCTTTGCCAACACGATGTTGCCCCTTCAGTCCTGTGGTGCTGAAGCATAGAGGGGCACTTCGTGCATTGTCACAAATGCAAACATGCTACATACAGTAAAATCTCTGGTTATCAAACCTCTTCATATTGTGCAACCTCTATCATATAAATATTTTGGTTTCAGATTAACTCTATAATACAACATAAGTGCCTTTCTAATTTGCAACTCCTTATTTTGGAGTCCTCCTTATACTATTCAAATATTCACTCTGAATTTTGAAATTGCCTTTTTTCCATCTTTTATATCTTAAAAAAAAAAAAAAAAAGCATTATGTATCAATGCCAAAATATGTTTTACATATTTTGGCATTGATACATAATGCCAAAATTTTTATCAGAAAATAAGCAATTCATGAAACACACTAAGCACCTGCTTACATTTTGCAAAGCTGTCAATGAAGAAATGTTCCTTTGTGTTGATATATCTTCCCAGGAGTTGTGTGAGAGGTTGTTTGAAAGCCTTTGATGTCTTAGAATGGTTACAAAACACAATGTTTAGGTTTTGCATGTGTTAGTGGAAAAAACAAAGTGGATTGAATGTCAAAAATGTATTGCACTGAAATCATTAAGAAACAAGAACCTAAATTTCATATTTTGATCTAAAAATGACTAAATTAAAACTTTCATTTGGTGCAAAAATCCACAATATCTCAAACTTTGGAGGCAATAATAAGGATTTTAGTATCAATAACTTGAAAACTGAAAATTAAAACTGTAATAACTAGGGTTTCCAATCCTTTTCCATCATCAGTTGATGATGGAAAAAGACAGACAGATGTGACAAAGTCATTTGGTATATCACCTGCAGTACACTTCAATTTTGAAGAAATGCACAGAAATAAAATTTAAGCACAACTTCATCCTAATCAGAAACAATATTGCAAAATAAAAATGTACAACTTGTGTTTGTCAGTTTAAGGAGGTCCAGAGCTAAAAATATTCCAGCTTCAGGACAGATCTTGCAAATAGCATTTTAATAAATATTTGCAAAATATACATTAAAAAATTCAAGATAAGATACTTTAAAAAAATACAATATTGAAGACTATATACAAGACAATTTTTTTGAAGTCTTCTGAACATTCATTTACAAACAGTATAAGCAAATTTTGCAAATATCTGATGTCAGAACTTTTAAACAATTTGTCTAAGCAAAGGCAGAGAAAAGACTATAGAAAAAAAAAGTCAACTCTGCTTAATTGTGTTCCAGTGATTGTGAATGGACATTCAGAAGACTTCAAAAAATTTTTGTGCATTTACTCCTTCAGTATTTTTTTTTAATATTTGCAACTTTTTCATTGTGAATGATTTATTTTTCAATAGAGTTTACATAATCAAAGCATTAAAAAATTTTAATTGTACAGTACAACACAAACTCCATTAAAACAGAGTTGAGATTTTGTTTTGTGTATCTGTGGAGTTCTGCTATATTTTTTTCTATAGATTTTCTTAAATATCCCATTAACTTTTCTATATATCAAAATAGCAAAAATTTGTTCCCTTCCATTTTAATGTATTTTATCTTTGGCTATCAAGTATGTCAGCTATTTAAAAAATAATATATTTAAATTTAAAAAATGTTTCTGATATTATTTCCTTACCATACACAACAACACACAACCAATAACCAGCATGAAAAACACTTAAAAACAGCAAACATTTTCGATGCCCCTCCTGGGCTCTTCCTCAGGCTTAATTTGTTTCTTCCGTTGGACGGGGTTCTTTAATTTAAAGGTTTTTCAAATTTGGAATGTAGCCTTTGACGTTTTTAACTTTTTTCATGCCGGTTATTGGTTGTGCGTTGTTGTGTATGTTGAATTTATACAACCCGGTGTAGTGAGAAAGTGCATTATTTTCTTACTATTTTTCAAGCTATTTCCTTCTATACTTATACACTTTTAATTATCTTTCATTTTAAGTACAAATTCAATAAATTTTAGCTTGCTTGGAAAACTTCCAGAACAGCTAGCTAATATTCCAGAAGCTTTATAATTAAAAAAAATAATCTGAATTTATTTAAAGTTTTTGAAACTGAGATAGTAAATAATTTTAAATATATGATTTCAGTTTATAAAAAGTTTAATTCTGTGAAATATTACATGTAGATAATAAAACAATTTAATGTTTTTTTGATATCATGTGCTACCACACATCCTTATATTGTTTAATGCATGAATCAAGATAATTTAGTAATAAATTACTTTAAAATAAAAAATATATATAAAAGTCAGACAGATGTGACAAAGTCATTTGGTATATCACTCGTGCATTGTCACAAATGCAAACATGCTACATACAGTAAAATCTCTGGTTATCAAACCTCTTCATATTGTGCAACCTCTATCATATAAATATTTTGGTTTCAGATTAACTCTATAATACAACATAAGTGCCTTTCTAATTTGCAACTCCTTATTTTGGAGTCCTCCTTATACTATTCAAATATTCACTCTGAATTTTGAAATTGCCTTTTTTCCATCTTTTATATCTTAAAAAAAAAAAAAAAAAAGCATTATGTATCAATGCCAAAATATGTTTTACATATTTTGGCATTGATACATAATGCCAAAATTTTTATCAGAAAATAAGCAATTCATGAAACACACTAAGCACCTGCTTACATTTTGCAAAGCTGTCAATGAAGAAATGTTCCTTTGTGTTGATATATCTTCCCAGGAGTTGTGTGAGAGGTTGTTTGAAAGCCTTTGATGTCTTAGAATGGTTACAAAACACAATGTTTAGGTTTTGCATGTGTTAGTGGAAAAAACAAAGTGGATTGAATGTCAAAAATGNCTGCCAAAGCATATCAAGTTCATGGCATATGCATTTTCCTCCATCTAACTTGCTGTTATTTAATAAAATTGATTTTATGATTTTTTCCCCTAAAAAAATCTTAAAATTCTACTCCAAAACCATAGTGTGTCTTAAAATCAAAGAAATACAATATACTAAATATATAATTTTAATTTTTATATATCTAAAAAGAGGTTGCATAAGAATTACAACATATATAAAAATTACTTAAAATATAAATATTTCAGATAAAAATTATTTGCATTGACACTTTCAGCTTATCAGCCAACTGCAGATTAAGAATATCAATAAAGTACAGAATATAAATGGCATATGACCTTCTTTATCTCCCCACCCCTCGATCTTCAATCACCAAAATATAATAGTATCAATCACTTTAATAAACAAACCTCCCTGCAAAATTTCAGAAATTTTTGGCAAAAACTACAGGAGCTTCAAAGAAGGTGAACAAAATCATACTCCACACATACTAACATCAATACATACAAAAAACACTCCAAATTTTTTTGTACTTCTCAACATTTCAAGGTCCCAAGTCCAAAAATTAAAAATCTTGGGGGTTCATTTTTTGATCAATTACCATACTTTTCCTCTGTTATATATAACAGAGCTGGGAAAGTAAAAATGTTAAACAGATGAAACTCTGACTGGCTATGACACATTATAACCTGCCAATCATATATTTATAATGTTGCACTCTAGCAAAGTGAAGTTCTGCCATTATTTGTCTATTGATTCAAAGATTCAATCAAGGATTTCAAGTGCTTATACCACATTTTAATTAAAAGTTTGTCATAACCTGCATATTGTTTGATAGTAATTATGTATTTATTAAATACTCTTCTAATTACTTTCATTTTTATAGTTATTTCTGTAGTTTTGATAGTTCCAGATGATGACAATGACAGCACATCCAGTTTAAGTGTGGTTCTATTTTACCTTCTAAAATTTAATTTTTTAAAGAAATTTTTCAATATTTACATTCTACAATTTTTTCTCTAAATATTCATCTCTCACATAACCAAGCAATACAGTTAATTTTAAACTATTCTTTGTTTTATAAATATAGGAGCTGTTCATAAATGTAATACAGATATGGGTGGGTTTGGTATGCAGATAATTGTTACACTGCATTATAAGAGGGTAGGAAGTGTTTACAAAAACATTACATAATGCTAAGATCTCAATTCTTGGTTAATAGATTCATTCATTTTTGTTTCCTAATACTACATTCACACACAATCCAAGACTCACTTTGATCTCAATTTACCTATAATCTGGATTGCAACTGTCGCCAGTCAAACGTTGTGCTGTTCGCACAGGCAGTCTGCTTGAGAAGAACCTGGCTATTACACACGATGATAAAACTGGCATAACTATGTGGTAAATCACAAACATAAACAAACAAAATAAAAATTTTGGTTAGAAATAAATTATTTTTCTTGCCATACATCTAATAATAGACAGATGTCATCACCTCTCCAGATGTTTTTTTTTATTTCTTTGTTGGTAGCCCGACACATGTTCCGCAGCCATCTTGTATTTTCTCGCATGTGTGGGATTGTGGGATCTCTCTTATGACCTGGATCTGGAGTTTCAAGAACTCTCGAGTCAATCGAGATTGAAATGGTTGAGAGAGGTCACATCATGGCATAGTTGCTGACTTTGGTCACAATCTAAATCAAAATGCTCAGTGCAAACAGGATATAACAGTTACATGACAAACCAAATGTTTATGTCACTGTTTTGAAAGTAATTTAAAAAAATAGCATAATGTTCAGTAACCCATACTGTGTATTATAGTTTAATACAACTAAGGGGGACAATTGAGGATATGTATTATGTAATTTTGGGGTTGGTATGTGCAATATGTTAAGGAATGCTACAAGGAGTGAGTTGACAGTTGAAAAGTATAAAAATAGCATTATGTAATTTATGGACAATCCCATATACAGATTTCTAAAAAACCTCAATTATTTAACTGTAGCAAGAACAAATGTAATCTACATTGAAACACAAAAGAAATTTAATGTAAACTATATGTATATATTACTAGCATGATTGTGCTATTTACCTGCTAATATTAAAGTATTATAAATTTGTTAAAGAAAGAGCTAAATATTTTCAAACTACATGAAATTTCTCATGAACAAATACAGGTAAAACAGTCAGAACACCAAAATCAATAAGAAACATTTTATCAGACAATGTTCCCCATTGCAGTAAGATAAAATTTGTTCAATAATAAAATATAGAGAATAAACCTAACATGCTAAGAAAATAATTCCTGTTTATCAACCCTATATTTGCATGAATGATAAAAGCATTATTCAGTAAATTAAAAAAATGTAACATTAATTAAAATTAACTAAAAATTTTGCAATTAAAAATGTTTCAAATAACTGGCATAAAACTTTTTATAACCTAATATTATTACAATTTCACAAACATTAAAATATTTATTCACATAACAATTCAAAAAAAAAAAAAAATTGGCAAATAATTTCATGTGAAATTATTACATAAGGAAAACTAAAAAACAACTTAAGAAAAAACAATTTTGCACTTGTGATTATGATTACATAATAAACAGGAAAATGAAATGAATCCACAATTAAAAGAACAAACAAATATTTTGTTTAAAACATTAATCAAAATGACAAAAAATAAAATTAACAGAACACAATTGAGTTAATTTAAAAATAGAAGTATCATTCATCCTAAGTGACATTAACATACACAAATATTGAAAAATTTTGCTTTTAAAAGTTTATAAATAATGAGTGAAATTAATCAATGCACCTTTACAATGATTCCACTTTCAATTATCTATGCCTAAAGATGGTATGTTAATTGGATTAAAAACACCAGTGTTCTTAAGTTTCACCAACTGTTAAAGATACATTGATTAATTCAGCTGACAAACTATAGTGTCTAGTTCATTCTTATCAATGAGTGAAAGTGCAAAAGAAAACGAGGTAAAATATTAATTTGAATATAATATTTTATTAGCTTTAGTATTAAGGATACAAGGATAAATAACTATTAAAAATAAATATTCAATCAGATGATAATTTAATATTTGCTAAATTATTAAAAAGCATAAAATTATAGTAATACCTCGAACTTACGCAATAGGTGGGACCGAGCAATAACCACGTAAGTCAGGGTATAATTTCGCAATTTGTGTAAAATCCAAGTCAGATGTATGTAAGCTAATAAATGTTCTCGTTAATCTCGTCTTTTAATTCTTTCACGGTTACAAGAAATCACCACATAGAGTCTCTCAAGTCTCCGTAGATATAACAAACACAGAAATAAATAACACAAAATAAATTGTAGCTATGTGTCAATTCCGCGCGACACGTCCGAACATGTAAGCCGAACAGTAGTGTGGGAGAGTGAGTAATCAAGAGTTGCGTGGCGCTCAAACAAAAAATGAATCGATGAGATTTGAAAATCGCGTAACTCTGGGTTTGCGTAAGTCGGGGTAGTGTAAGTCGAGGTATTACTGTACTCATGTATATACAAACAGAGAATTATAAATATCAAAATTTCATTTTATTTTATAAATGAGATAAAAACTTGACAATATTCTTCATTCAGAAAATCAATCACTTTTTGATGTTATACATTGTATAAAATTTTAAAAAATAATTAAATTAATATTTTATTATTTAAAAGAATAAGAATAATTTAAATACTTACAATTCAAAAACAAGAAATATAAATGTTGATGATTCAAATACATCATGCAATTCAACTGAAAAAAATTAAATTATGTCAAAATAAAATTAATATCAATAAAATATTTAAACAATTATGAATTTTGATCTTTTAACTATAATAATTATAAAGTAAAGAAATTATAAAAAAAAAATAAAAGCAGGACCATTTTTAATTTTATAAATTTTTGTATAAAAATCATTTATATCTGATTTTCAGAATAAAACAAATTAGGGTAATATTTAACTATTAAGATAGTTTTAATTTTATGTATTTCTTAAATTTATTTAATAAATTTTTTAAACTTTTTTCATAACATATAAAGTAAAAGTTTATAAACAATCAGTGACAGTGCAAAAAAATGAGTTAAAATATTAATGTGAATATAACATTTTATTAGTTTTAATTTGGCAGATTTAAATATTCCTTATTATAGCAATAATCATTTAAATATTTTCCTTAAACACAAAGAAAGTATTCTTAATTTAGAAAAAAAAACCAGAATATAATCAATATAGTAATTCCCAATTCTTTTGAGCAAGCACCATATTGTGAACTGATGTCACATCAAAGACACTCTTTATATGTATAAATGACACAGCAGCACTGAAGATCTGCAGTTTTTCCATATAAAAAAAGTATAAAAATATTAAAAGATTTAAAATTTAGCATTTTTAAATGATTTTTTGTAACATGCTTAAAAGATGTTTATGGCAAACTGGATGAGTACCACTGAAATAACAAAATAATTTAGATATTTTTTTAAAAAACTTTTTCTGTCTTGTAGGCACATGATTAAAAAAAGGCACTGTAGGCCTTTTTTAATCATACCCATCATGGGTTTAGCCAGGCCTGTAATTTGGATGGCCAGATGGTTAAGAATGGAGCTTGGCATAGCCAGGACAGACCATCCCAGAAAAATTCCTGGGATTTTTAAATTTTCTGGATTTGATCTCAGGTCCTCTGAACTGTTAGGCTGACACTAACTGCCTCAGCCATCTAGTCACCAAATTATCTAGATCAGATTGTGGAAAATTATGGAAACTCTCACATAGTAATAAATTATTGATTTATATCTAAAAACAAACCCATAATTATAGGTAGGAAATCAAACAAAAAAAAAGGGGGCAAACTTTAAGGGATGGAAGAATACATCAAAACAAAACATTTCTCATCATATGATGTTGCTGTTGCCGAGCTGCCTGAGCTTGTTGGCGTTCTAACTGTAACTGCATCTGGAGTTGCTGAAGTTGTGTAGTGGTGGTGGATGCAGTTGATGACTGAGCAAGATTGGATGTTCGTCTCACTCCAGACAGTTGAGAAAGCAATTCTGCTATAGGATCCATTGATTCCCGACTGCCTGGAGAGAGAGAAGATAAGCCACTTGAAGTAAACTGCATTTGCGACCTACGTGGTTGAGCACTACTCATGCCCCTACCAGGATGAGGTATTAGACGAACTTGACGAGAACTAGAGGAATCATCTAAATCTCTTGGAGTTCGGTGCTCTAATGTCAAATAGGCTGCAAAATCATCAGTAACATTATTTGGTTCTCCACCTGGAAGAGCTGCACAAACAGGACATACCACTTCAAATGATGTATCTGGATGCTCTGATGTTACATGCTCATGTAATGTAGTCTCTGTGAAACCAGTCTTTCCACAAAATGGACAAGTATATGCCTGAGGCTGATCAACAGATATTGCTTCTCCACAATAGTACAAATCAAAATCAGCTCTAGTTAAAATGCATTGCATTGGATGTTCTGTAGTATGTCGAGTTGTGGTAGCTCCTGCTTCGTAACAAGTAGCACATAAGTCATAGTCATAACATGATGATATGATATGATGTGATATGATGTGTGGTCAAATCAGAACAGCAAAGGTGGTAGAGGTTTTTTTCCAACAAGTGTATAAAAGTAACTTTTTGGCATACATAGTCATTCACAATCTTGATGTCTGAAAAGATGGATCATTATTTCAATGCCAAGAAGGCTAATATGCACTTTAACATGACATTGCCATTGGCAGCTCCATGTATGGAGCTGCCAATGGCAATGTCATGGAAGTGCAACAAATATACCAGGAGTGTTTTTCCTATAGACCAGTTCCTGATCAGAAAACCTATCTTCCAAAATGTATGCAATTCACTCCATCAATGCTGTAAAGCATGCATTATGGTTGGCAGTTGCTCCTTTGAATAATTTCTGTAATTATCCATTATTAAAGATTTTTTCCCCCATGTTCTGTGTCATGAGACATTACTGTGTTTGCACCTCAACACTTTACATTTGACTATGAATTCTATAATGAGGAATGTTTGTTTTGGTGTGTTCTTCCACCCCTTAAAGTTTTGCTCATCCTGTATAGAAACGGCATGACTATAGTCTGTTTTTGTTTTAAACAGACAAGGAATTAATCTTACTTGTAATTTAAAATGATATGATGATGAAATAATATTGTTTATTTAAAATTGTTTGTTACACTGTTGAAAAATCAAATTTTATCAATATGAAATTAATTGTCTGCAATAACAGTTATTGGGTTTATTATATATGTAATTAGAAATTACATAAGATTTAATTAAATAAATCTGTTATTATAATACTTACTGATATAGGAATGGCCTGCAACAATTTTTAGAATTTGGATCTCCCTTAATGTAGCTTCTTTTGTACAAACAGATGATGTCTCATCATCACTACTAATATCAATTATTTTTGCAGCATATTCCTTTCCAGTTTCCTTTTCTACACATCGTCTTACCGTGCTGCTAACACCTCTAAATAATAAGTTTAAAAATAAATGAATTTTATTTATATAAAAATAGTATTAATAATTAATATTATTTCAATAAATCACACAGCAGTAAGGTTCTAAAATATTTACATTACTAGTTACGCACAGTGAGAATCTTTGAAGTTTGACAAAAATTCCTACAAATAGATTCAAATATATTTGAATACATAGCATTTTGAAGAATGATCATCAAACTTAAGTATCTGTCTGTCTCCATTGTAAATATATGTAATAAAGAAAGTATACTTTTAAAATAATTTACTTTCTAAATACTAAATAATTTATTTCAATGATCTCAGTAACTATTATTATTATTAAATTTATATTTTTGTAGTTATACTTTTTTCAATATTATAATTTGTAAATAGCTAGTTCACTTTACAGTAAATCAATATGGTTATTCTGAACATTTTGAAATATTGAAACTTTTTTGTTTCTTTTTTATAGCAATTGAGCATTATAGTAATAATTCTATTTTGCAGAATGTTAAATATCAACAGTAAAACTTACAAATTACTCATTATTATATAAAAATTTTAGTTTTAATAAAATTCTGAAGATTTTCTGATTTATTTTACCAAAGATCGTTGCAGTATCCATTGTTTTGTGAATAATATAAATTATCAAAATAATTTATAATTTATTTAAACATTCTCTTTTGCTAGCTTTTATTTTATCCTTCTATTTAGTTGAGACAAACTAATTAATACAATTCTAACATAATAATTAATATTGTATGCTTATAAAATCATACACTTATTTAAAAAAACTACTTTAAATCTTCAAATAAATATACAAGTAAAATTCTTCTCTACTGAAAATTAGATTCTAGCACTATATTCTTAATATGAAAGAAAGATTCTTATTATATTGATTGTAATAGATACAAATCTTGTCAATTAATGATTGGTTGGTTGGTTTTTTGGCACAAGAACGATTATAGGCTAAGCTGCACAATGTGAAATGGTAAAGGTTTTTAAAAATAATAAATACAGGTAGACCTCGGTTTATGCCACAGTTCTGTTCCTACAAAAGCCGTCACAAATTGAATCGGCGTAAAATGAACCCATATTTACAGTGAGGTATAGGATTAGGTTCTACATAAGTGAAAAATAAGCAAATAATTTTGTTTATTAATACAATATAATACAAAATACATATAAATTTAATTTTTAAAATGTATTTTATCATAAAATAAAGTTAAATGTTTTTATTAAAAAATTTTAGTTTCAGATCTCTTACATTTTTCGGAAAAAAGTATCCATCTTTAATTGTTTACATTTTTGTTTTCTTTCGTTGAGAATTTCGGAATATGGTCGAATGAATGAGATGATGCTCCTTTTTACATTTGCACATCGCTCCCAATCATTGTCTAACTCACAAAGTTCATCCATCAAACTTTCCATAGTTGAAAGGATACGTTAACCTGACATAGAGCTATAGACGAGCAGAGACGCTGATTGATCGACCACTGGTCACTGTAGCGTATATATAAGGTTAGTTTGAGAGGGAAAATTCAAGGTGGCTAAGGAGAGATAGATATCGTCTGGCTAATAAAAAAGTATCGTCTGGCCAACGAGAAGTAGATTTGCCTCATTAATGATAGTTTGTGATTGCCAGAAGTGCTACTGCATCATAAGGTGTTTTCCTGAACGAACTGATACAGGATACATTCATTGTCACTATGGATTCGGACGCCATTTATTGGACTATTAAATATGATAACTTGACTCATGGGTAACTAAACATTTAGTATTTTAATATTAATTTAATGCAAATGTATACATACCCAATAATATTAAACAGAAAAAATAAATATATTCAATGAAAATCTTTGTTTTAACGGATATACAATGTTGCGGCTCGGTAAATATGTCAATACTGAAATAAAAATCAATCTGGCATAGGGAAAAATCGGGGAATTACACCGCAAAATGGTGAATTGTGCAGCGGTGTTATTGTGAATCGGCGTAAACCAATTCACAATAACGCCACTAAAATTAATAACAAAAACACAACAAACATAAAACAGTACAAATAAACAAAACAACAGGGTATATAAAAGTAGATATTAAATAGATAATCAAATCTCTCTATACATATTAGTAACTTTCAGAAAATCTAGTAGCCTGTCAAGATTTTTGTCAATTAACAGTTGAATACAAAAATTCACAAATTAGCAAAAATTTTAAATATGAACTAGAAAAAATATATTACATTTCTCACAATATTTAATTACAATTATAAAGATTTTTCAAAACAAAAAAAATCTTTAAAGTAAATAGATTCTTGAAAATATCAATCAATAAATGATCCCATTAAAACTATTTCAAGATCATTCAAAACTTTTTAATTTTAATAAAGCAATTTTTATTAAAATTAAAAATTGTTTAAAATTATTCTTAAATATTGCTATAAAATATATAAATGATTTATGATCAATTAGTTGAAAATTCTGACTGATGAAACAGTCCAACCTAAACAACATTAAAATAATTAAAATGATCCAGATAATATTTAAATCCTTTACAGCAATAGGCAAGTACTTTCAACTAGTCTAATCAACTATCAATCAACTAATAATAATAAACAACGCTTTTTGCCCGCGACTGAAAATTAGACAGAATTAGATAACCTATTTGTTGGGTTATCTAATTCTGTCTAATTATCAATCAACTATTATAATGATTTGACAAGTTGTTGTATAATAATAAAAACAACATTAATTTAATGATAATTTATAAAATCAAAATAAAACATACCTTCCCAATACTTCTTTAGGCTCATATTTTGCATAAAAATCTCGTGCCACATCTTTATCAGGAAGGTCATCTTCTTCTCTTCCTGCAGATACCATAATGTTCACTAAAAAATCTGAGAAACAAAAATATATAACTGAAAAATTTTCTAAGTTAAAATTATAAAAACTCTTAAATCAAATTCTATATCTTACTTTCTTAAATAATGGGATTAATTTTATTTGTCATTTTATTGATTAACTTTGTTTAAATAATTTCACTATATTAAAAATTAAAATTTTCACTGAAGTGTCCGAGTGCATATGTTTCAAGAAAGACAAATTTCAGCATCACATAATATTAAATAATTTCTGATTGTAAGATATTGTAAAATGATTATAAATCTTTTTGTAAGTTTTCTGATAAAACTTACATCCAATTCTTTAGATAATATCAAAAAACTAACTAAATCAATTGTTAATTTCTTACATAAATTATGAAAAGATAATTTTTTAATAAATTATACTAAAAGTTTCCAAATTTATCATCATAGGTTGAATTATTTTTAATGGAAAATGCAGGCATAGCCTACCTTGCCAATATGACAATTAAGTTCCAGATTGCTGGCTTAAAGCAAAATAACCTTTTTTTCACTTTTCAGTGCATGTAAGGCTAAAAACATTTACATTATCAAGTGCACAACAGTGCCAGTCCTTAAAAAAGATGTAAAAATAAAAAATAATTTTAAAAAGATCTTTAAAATTACTTTAAAAGTGCCAAAAATAATAAACATGTTAAATTCAACTCAAAAAATTGGATATTAATCTATAAACACCAAAGAAACCAAAACTCCAGTAAAACACATGAAAATTCAATAAATAAACAAATGTTTTTAAAAGCTTTAAGCTATCATCCTCAGGTTAAGAAGGAATCAAAAACAGAATAAAACTTCAAACATTGATATTTTAAAATAACATTTGAAAGAACATCAAAACACTCTTCATTGTAAAGTCTTAAATTGCTTATTAAAAGTAACAAGTTATTTTTACATACTTAATTAAAAAAGGAGACTGAATCCTAAGATAACAAGTCAAAAATTGAAAGAATTGCTGACCATGTCATACTGCAGTTAGCATTAAAATTATCAGACGAATTATTTATAAACTAGACAGATATTTTTTAAAGTTTTCTCCCTGTGTATTGTCTATTTACATGAATGGCTTCATATGCTTATAAAGAGAAACAAGATCTACAAGACATTGCAGTGATGCAAAAGTTCATAGCACTTGAACTTTGCCCATGGAATGCGAATGTTGCATGATAGTTGACTGGTTACAGTTCATCACATTTGCTGATTCTCAGATTGAGTGACATAGATCATCATGAATGAAAGCATTTGAACAGTTATCATCAAAGCCTGATGGTCTTTTTGAACATGTAGAATCACTCAGGTCAAAGTGGATGGTTCGAAACAAGGTAACAATTTTCTTGCTTTGTTTTCCCATAACAGCACAAATGTTTTGAGCTACCTCTGCTGTCTTTACTCCTCTGTTAAACTCAAACAGAAAAATATGTCAAAAGTTTGTTTTTCTCCCACTTGACAGTCCATCTTTAACCAACAAACAGCACTAACTTTCTTCAAATCTGAAAAAGGCAAGGCATGTTCAAAGCACAACACTCACTCCAAATGACAAACAATAAACAAACTCCTAACACTGCAGTGTTGCTGTGCAAAAACAAACATTAACTTATACATCAACCCAATAAATAGAATTTTATTAAAAAGTGCATATAGTTACTTTAGGTCTTCCTTTGCAGGTATATTATCAGCACTGTCTTGAACAACAAAAAGCCAATGCACAAAGTAGTAATAACACTAATAACTCTCCAAAATAGTCATTGTTTATTGCTGAAAGAAATTTGTAATTTTTTATTATATTTTATGTTTAATGAAAGCCTCCTCTTCAAATTCCTCAACTTTCATAACATTCAAATATGCCATCTGTGCATATCTTTTTATTTTATCAGAAATTTTCATCATGTTAATTAAGCAGATCTTAAAATGATAATCTCAACTTTATCTTTTACAGTACAGTAGTGCCTCGTACAACGTACTTAATCCGTTCCAGGTGCACGTCCGTTAAGTGAAACATCCGTTATACGAAACGCATTTTCCCATAGAAATACATGTTCAAACATATAATTCGTTCCGCAGCATAAAATAACCGTACTGTACCATAAAAAATGAAAATGGAGCAGACACCAATTATGCCGGGTAGTCAGATGCTGTGAGGAGGAGGTGGAAGAACACTTTCTTTACACATTCATACAGATACAGACTTTTTACACATTGCAGTGGATCTTTTTTTATTGATTTTTAATCGGAGTCAGATTCAGGAGAGGCTACCGGAACTTGCAGGGTCAACTTCTCTTGTTCCATCCTTTGTTTTTTGCCTGCTGGCTTCTTGAAAAACATAACCAAGGTGGTCTGTTTCTCTTTCTTCTTTAACACCTGTCGGAAATGACGGACAAAGGTGTCATCGTAGAGATCATTGATCCTGTTGGCCTCAGCTCTGTTTGGATAATGAGTGTTGGTAAACTCCTGAACCTCTCCCCATTCGACAAGAAAGTTTTTGTCAACTTTCACTCCTGATGATTTCTTGCTTTGTTTCAATTGAAATCACCTTTCTGTTTTTTTAGAAGCCATGATGCATTATAAATGACTTAACTTGCCAGATTATATGATACGAATAATTCTTTATTAATTAAGATCACTAAACACTTCTACGAGCTACTCTCGCTCCGTTTGTTTTTTACAACCTCTTTTCGTCCCGCCACCTCGGCATCTACACAATTACATTTCGTTTATTTGAATCGTCAACATATACTGTATTACATTACATTTAATGTTTATTTAAATCATCAACATATATTACATTACATTTCTACTTCAGATATACTAATAATACATTCTAATAACACTAATATATCCTAAAAATAGCAGATTGTCATTGGCAACGGCAAAAGAGTGGAAACATCATTTGCACTTGTTCGAAAAAAGTCCATTGTTCGTCTCATGTAACTGCCAAACGGAAAGTCCGTTGTTCGCAGCAAGTCCATTGCTCGAGTCACGTAACGGTCAAACAGAAAGTCCGTTATTCGCAGCGTCCGTTATTCGAGGCGTACGTTATACGAGGCACCACTGTATTAGATGAGGTTAAGATCATCATGTCTGATAACTATATAGTAATGACACTACTACAAACTAAATTGACATGATAAAAAATAAATTTTACAATTAAATTGACTGGAATAAAAGTCATGTTACCAGGTAAACATTAAAACTATATCCATTGATAACAAAAGATGAATTTATAAATTTTGTTATAATCAGCACTTTTGTAAAATTTCAAATTTAAATCTTATTAAGTTAAACTAAAATTTCATTATGGTGGTATTTGTTAAATTAAAATGTGTAGCAAATTGACAAGAGATTGACAATGTCATTATACTGTATTTATATTCATTATAATGATATTTTATTGTACTAGTAAATTATTCAATACAAAAGTGGAAGTATATATGGATTTTATAATTTTACTATGTTGAATCACAAATGCTCTTTACTTAGAAAAATGTCATTTACAATAAAATTTGTTATAAATCAATTATGAATAAAATTACATAGTATTCAATTATAATTACCTGAATAAATTTATATTGAATAACTATTTCAATATTTTTTCATTAAAAACCTAACTTCATCCTTTTTATATGAACTGATGAATTCAATATTATAAAAAATAGAGAAAGCAGAATATTTTATCTGTAATGATAAATGAAAATTTATTTTTAATTATTATTAAAAAAAAGAAATGAATCATTACTATTATGAATGTCAAAAAATAAAATATATCAAATAATTAATATAATAAAAACTAAATTTCTATAAGAATTTTAATATTTTTATACTGTTACCTTATCCATACCTTGAATACCTTGATATGTTATACAGTAGAGCATCGATTATCCGACTCAATTGGGGACTGGGGTTGGTCGGATAACTGAAAAAATGAATAACCGAAAAATATGAAAAAATATGTTATTAGTATAGTACATTAGTATATCGCTATTAACCTACTTCGTGTTGAATTCTCATCGATGTTAAGCCTAACAAAAATTTTTTTAAATAATAATCATCACTATTGTATCGTTAAAAATTAGAAAATTAAGTCTCGTTTAAATACTGGCTCCCTTTCATGGTCGAGCCAGTGTTGTCAGCTAAAACACGTAAAAGTACTATTAAAGTAGCCAAGATATAGCCAAATATTGTGGCACCACATCACTTGTGGACATTTGAATTTGCCGACTAGAACGGTTGGTTAACCGATGTGACGGTTAATCGGGGGTCGGATAATCGATGCTCTACTGTATATGCAGTTTAATTTATATATACTGGGGTTGTATAAAGTAGTGGCAACATACATATGTGACAAGATATTATCACACCAACATACCTTTACATTCATTCAATATCAACTCCTGCCTATATTTTGACAACCTATCTATCACCTTCCAGATATCTGGACAAAAGTTGTCAGATATCTGGAAGGTGATAGATACTACTAGCAAAGCTGTTTGTTGTTATCTGCAAATGAGTGTACTATTACTTGAATGATCACGTCTTAGATGTAAAAATATTTTCCTCTAAGTGGTTTCTTCAGCTGTTTGAAGAAATCAGTCAAGTCAGACTCATGTTTGTGGAGTATGGTGGATATTTAAGAACCTCCTACTGCCACCATGCTAACATATCCCTTACAAGAGCAGCAGTGTGACATTGAGCATCATTGTGCAAGGCAATGGGTGGAAATGTTCTGAAATATTGCTGCTTCCTCTGTACAGTAGGGTGAAGATGATCCAGATAATATTAATAGTATTAAGTCTTGTTCTGAAGAACTGCATGCTAAGTATCACATTCATGTTCTGGGTTCTTGGTGCAGCTTTGGTCAAAGAGAAGTTGGGTGTTGCCATTCATTAGATTGTCATTTCAATTCTGGTTCATATGATCTTTCCACACTTCATTCAATGCAATTATTCTCTCAAGGAATGCGACTTTCTTGGTTGTAATGTTCCAAGAAATGCTAGGAAGAGCAATGTTGTCACTAGTTAATATTTGCACAGGAGCCAGTATTGCCATTACTTTCTTTACAACCCTTGTAATTTGATAAATAATACCACTAATTTCTGGCATTACATACACAAATATAAAAAAAAAAATAAGTGTGCAACTGGAACTACTGATTAGAGTCATATACTTAATGCCTTTTAATTTCCAGCAAAATTGGTTTATTTTAATTAAAGCTTTCAGTCTTGTAATCTGAAGATGACCTACTGACCAGACCAAAAATGTTAGTTAAAATAAAATGAAATTGCTAGAAATTAAAAGGTGTTAAATACATGATTACAAAATAAAAACAAATATGTTTCTTTATCTTAATATTTGTTATTTAATTGCACACTTTCAAGAAAAGTTTGAAAGGGCTCTTGCATGACTTTCCCAGCCATGAATAGGAGATTAAGAACCAAGAAAAAGTAAAATAATTTTCAATCACATTACAATATAAAATTTAAATAATAATGAAAGCTTAAAAGAAGAAATTTTGTTAAATTATGAGAAATTTCTCTATTTTTCAAAAACGAATATTAAAGTTTAAAAAAATTGTATGACATTTATTGGGAGATTTCATTAAGAAATAATTTTTATATTATTATTAATTATTACAAAAAAGCAAAAAGCTTATTTTTGTGGTAAGGGTGACTTTTTAAAAATATTGTAAATGACAAGTAAAATGTTCATAAAGTCTGACCCCACTTGAGATGACACATGACCACCTCTACCTCTCAACCCCTTTACCATAAACTACTAAAATTTAATACCATCAATGTCTTACATATAGAAATAATCCTGTGGAGTTTCAAAACTTTTGGTTCATCTATTCCTGAGATATAATGCAAAATATATACCAAGACAAAAATTTTAAAGGGTTTCTTTTTTTACATTTTGGGCTCATGGAATGTCAAACTGTAAAGAAATGCAAAAACAGTAAAAATTTGACTAATGGTGATTAGTCAAATACTTTTCCTAAGCTATTTCTATAACTCCTAGAAAAGTATAAGCATTTAAGAATAGTTTATATAAAACAGAAAGTTGAATGAAAACCTATTACTAATATATAGAATCAAATAATTTGAATTTATAAAAAAATTGTATTTTTTGAAACACATCATACAATATATGAATATTTATTTTAGAATTTTTTAGTAAATTTTTGTTACTAATTTTGAATAAAGAAGTTTGATAGAATCAGATTTGAAGTGTTTTCCTTTAAAATGAGTGTAAGAGTTTCTGAAATCCCCGCCAGGATTTTAGTTTGTTTTAGGGATGTATGAAGTAGTACTAATTATGGTTACATTAAGACTGTACAGATATTTAAAAAACTTATTCTATTATTTTTTTAATATATTAATTATACTAATTTGTATAAATTGAAAAAAAAAACTTGTTAGAACTTGATCTTTGAAGATAAGCAATAACTTAAGTTAGGTCATTTTTAAGTATATATACGTGTTAGTTTTATAATAATTTATACTCCTTAGGTGATGCATAATTTCATTTGTATTTCATAGAATTAAATGAAACCAGACATATTTTCAAAAATATTAGCTGAAATAAAACTTAAAGACAAATAAAATTTTAAAAATTTTTTAGAAAAAAAAACCCACTTAATTCAAAACTTATAAGCAAGATAAAACATTTCAAATTAAAGTGAAACAGAAAACAATTTCAAATAGTTTACCTTTTCTTTTTATGTACAGTACATATGAAAATAGTTATATGACAACTGAAAACATTTGTTTCTCCTTTTTAATAAATTTCTGGATATTTTAAAGTATTACATCATACATATTATTTACAAACATAAAATGCTTTTGAAAACACTAAATTTCATCATTTGTGTCATATGAACTGTAATCATTTTGTTATCACAAATTATTTCACTTAATTAGTACAAGTTTTAATGATTTTAATTTCAACATTCATTAATAAAAACATTAATTAATACAAAATAAATATATCTCTTAACTACAAAATTCATATAGCCATTATTTTCTACCTTGTCTATGGAGGGCAATAAAACTAACATACTAATGAAATTATATCATCATTACTATATATCATTAAAAAAAAAATACAAATTATTTGATCAATCTTGGAAATTTTAAATAGCTAAAAGTATATCATCATACACAAAATACTAACCAATTTAACAACTTATAACAATCAAATAATCAAAATTAATCACATTGCATACATTTTTTGAACTGAAATTATTGCACTAATTACTGAATTACCTTCAGTAATTAATAGAATAATTTGCTACTTTTTATCCCTTTTACTTGTCCAAAATAAAGGAGTACTTATAATCAATGATATATATTACACTTGTAGTACAATCATTCAATCAATCATGCATACAAAACAATCATTACAAGCAGGTAACACGACACATTTTGCATTAATAATAGATGTTTTTGACTCTATTGCTCAATGATCACATCAGTTCAAATAAGTTTTAAATTTCAAAAAAAATAATAATAAATTTAAATTCCTTTGGCCATTTAAAATGCCTTAAAGATGACATTATGTTGCTACAATAAAATGAATTATTATTGTTTATGCAGAAGAGCTTGAAAATAAACTTTGTTTTCTGAAATAACAATTCATTTTCTATTCCATGGCATTTTATATTGTTTTCCTAACTTTTTATTTAGCAAAACTTAACAAAATTATTTATTTAAAACTTTTCCTTTTTTCACAAAAAAAAAAAAAAAATATTATATTCAAATTATAGTTATTGTTAATATGCAAATTTCAAATAAATTTTCTTTAATATAAAACAAAAATAGTAGTATTTTACATCTCCCTTTATATATGTATAAAATAACTTGTATATTCTATTAATTTGAGATCCTCTTGATCTTTATCATTGAAAGCATTAACACTAATGGAATTAATAGTAAACCTTACATTGTTATTCCATGTTTTTCTGCAATTAATGATCTTGAGTCTTTTTAACAGAGATATATTTACATTATGACTAATTAAAACTATTTTCTCATTTTAATTTAAAAGTATTTTTGGATTACAATATTACCCAACCAGAAAATAAAAATAGTTAATGGTTAATTGGAAATAATTCTATTATCCATAAATCAGACAAATTTTAATTAAGCCAACTGATTATATATAATGATAATATTAAAAAAAAAACTTGTGTGTTATCAGTAACATGGTTTTTTGACAGTTGAGATACTTGTCACATGTCAAGATTTTTATTCTAGATCATTTATATCATACATACCTGTTGTGTCAGCCATGTTATCATAGCATGTTTCACATAAGATACTTAATATAGCATATTTGTTGCAGCCTAAACAATGTTTCCCAATAGTATTTTTACCAATTCTGAGTTAGCTATTACTGTACATTAAGCATCACCAGAGAGGAAAATCACATTACTACTACAAAAAATAGGTTTTTCTCTACTGCTGGTTTCTTGCACTATCAAATTTTTACACCTGTAAAAATTAGTTCTCCAGATTTCCAAGCAAGAGCATTTTCTAATAGGTAATATTGAATTGCTGCTTTAGGATATATACCTCAAATCATATATACAGTAGAATTCTAGTGTTCAGTCATATTAACAGCATGTAAAATTTCAAAAAGTTCGTAATGTCTCAAACAACAAAATTTACAAACTTAATCTAACAATATACACAAGCACAAAAAAAGTCAATTTCATTTTATATAAAAACAAACTTCTGTTTAATTTTTTTTCTCTATACTTTACATGTTCAATATATTTAATTGGCTAATCAAAACATTTAACAAAATTTTAATTGCTTTGATTTGTTCATATAACCCATTTTTTTGTTCTCACAATAATTTTAAGACTTTAAAAACAATATATGCAAGAAATGATGTTGGAATGTATATAATGTAATTCAAAAGATCTAAATTTAAAAAAACAGCAAAATAAGATTTTAAAGATTTTCTATTGCAAATTACAAAGATTTTTAATTATATTTTATATAACTTTTGTTTAAACAGTTATAATAAAACTATATTTTCTTATGTAAAGTATATTTTAAATATATTAATTGACATATAGTAAATATTATCTAGGGAATGAAAACTTTTCAATGATGTAATGATTACAGAGGTAAATATAGCATGACTTTGTAAGTACTTCTTGCATAAATACTTGTAATTATTTTGTATATAAATAATATCTAGAGTAATAAAATAGTTGAATTTAATTTCTATCCTTCCTTCAAATTATAGAATTATTTCAGAACATCAACCTGTATGATAATATGGACACTGAGAAAAGTGTCCATGAAAAAATGAATGAATGAAAAAATGAAAATTTTTTGAAAAATGAAAATTTTTTGAAAAATGAAAATTTTTCTATTAATGTTTTCATTGTTAAAAAATAAAATACCATAGTTAAATATTAAATAATAACCTTAAAAGTAGCCAGGAATGATATAAAATGACAAAAAACAAAGTTTTATATTTAGTATTTTAACTGGGTATTTACAGGCACAAAACTTATTGTTAGCCCTAATGTTGTCTGTCAGCATTATTAACTAGAAGACAGTTTTAAGATAAACTATTCAGATTACTAGTTAATCCCTTTATTTAAAATATTACGTCCATAATCATTTTCACTCTTCAGGGAAGAATTTTCTTAACTCTAAATTACATTTCTACTAAATAAATAAGTAATTACCTATAACCAGCATTAATGAACATTTTCTTTCATCTTTAACAGTCAGCTGGAACAGCTGATCATTAAATATCTCGAACAGCTGGAGATATTTAAAGCATTCAAGAGAGGAACAGCCATCAATTTTAAAGAAATGGACTCACCAGGGCTGCATGGAGGGTGTATTTTGATGTAAAATAGATTGTCATCAAGTTTATCTTTATAATTTATATAAACATCAAATTTTTAAAATGGGAAGCCAATTTGAAGACTCATTTTTTTTAAGAGTTACATTGAGCATGTGCATATCTTCAAGATGTGCAATTTTTAAATTTTTGGAAGATGAGTTCTTTTACAAACATTCCAAAGCATAGAAACCTGATAATGACCGTTAAAGATGGAAGAAAACATTCATTTATAAGAGAATTAATGCTGGTTATAGGTAATTGCTTATTTATTTATTGAATTCTACACCAGTAATATCTGTGAGGATTATATTTACATTTCTACTAAATGACATAAATAAAATAGGGGACAATCATTAGGTTGATGGATTTGAATCATTGATCTAAGACAGGGGTGGCCAAACCGTGGCGCATGCGCCAAACTTGGCGCATTGGACGATTACAAGTGGCGCTTTAGTCAGTTCTGAGCAACATTGCCAGATTTGGCTTCTTTGCAATTAAGAATATTACATAGAAAATTAATTTTTTATAGTCTGTCTTGGCAAGTTCATTTGTTGCACAATTCGTTGCAATCAACTTTACAGATAAAATGAGTGTTCTCCACATAGTAAATTACAGTGTATGCATGTATGTTTATTTTCGATCAGTGCATAGGCGTCTAAATGACAGTGCTACCGTCCGGACAGTCCACGAGTCGGTTGG